TACACACACACACACACACACAAAACCAACCCCCCCAAAACAACAACAACAAAAAACAAACAACATCTAGCAAATAAACCAATTTAAAAAAAAACAACCCCAAAAAACAAAACTCAACTACTTACCCATAGAGGAGCTGAAGGAAAACATGCTTCCTACTCCCTGTGCACCTTGCAGCACTGTAGGAGAGCTCGCTGCCCCTGCCCCACCTTGACCGTCAATCTCCTCTTCAATCCTTTGGGCGGAAGATAGGAGCTGGCGGTAAGCGCGACTTTCGTCTGGTGGTGGGGTGGGTACGCGTTGGAGTCTCATGCGACATATCAGTCGGATGAAGAAGTACATAGCACTGGTTACCATCTGGAAAACGACGGTATTTAATACTTACTATTATTGTTCTTCTTGTTTTTATTCTTGTGGTCGTCATCGCCGTCATTGTTGTTGCTGTGGTCGTTGTTGTTGTTGTTGCTGTTGTTGTTAACATGCTGTTGTTGTTGTTCCTTTTGCTGTTTTTGTTCTTGTTGTTGTTGCTATTGGTGTTTAGTAGCTTACTGATAATAATACAATCTATTTTGAAGAATGTGGGGTCTCTCGTAATGTAAAAGTTTGAAGGACCCAATTTCGGCTACGGCTGTTTTTACACTATTCTTCCACATGGGAATCGAATGCTCGATAAAAAAAATTCCACACGAGAATCGAACTCAAAAAAAATTATTCCCGCATGGCCATTGAATTCTTGTCGTCTCCTGCGGTGTGCGATGTCAAAGTATATTTTAAAAAATGGATAAATAAAATCTGGAGTAGTGGGTCATATTGATAGACATTCAACATAATAATATTATCGCATTGAGTACAAGCATTCTGGTCACTCCACATTGCTTGTTTTAAGGGAACTTTCATAGCAAGAGGAAGACCAAGGAAGACCTGAATCAAAGGCGTGAAGCATACCCCAAAAACACACAACATCCCACCCAGCCGGGCCATCCAGCTTGGAAGAGACAGAAAGCTAGTTCTCCCCTCGACGCCCTAGAGGTACAAGAGGAAGGATTGAGTAAATAGGTAAAAAAAAAAAAAAAAAGCATGACTTCATATTATTTAGACAGTTTTTCCGCCAGTAAATTTGTTTTTCTATAACTTTAAAATCAAAACAGACGTGGGGTTGGGTCAAAGAAAAGGATTCTAGCCCTTTCTTTGCAGCTACCAACAGCCACAGCAATAAACCACCGTCATTGAAATTCGCAAATTTTAATTTGTGTTACTGACTTGTGTATGATGGTTTGAAATGTGTGGAAAAATACTAATTGGTCCGCTGCTGATCAGTCGAATTTATCATCTGTATCCTAAAAGTTACTTTAGGCAGATAGTCGGGAGTGAGAAGATCTTGCTTGAGTTCAAGAACTGCTAATTGGAAGGTCGATTCCTGGCTAGGTGAGCAAGAAGGTACATGTTGTATGATCTGCGAGTAAGAAACGCTTGACGGATGCAGAGGAAATGTTCTGCGCTTGTAAAGAAACAACTTAAAACGTTAAAGGAAGAAGCTTGTCAGGGCTGAAACAGGATAAATGAAAAATAGTATCTCAGAGCAAAAACGAATATCCTCCATTCAAGAAAACAGCAACCATAACAACAGCAATAACCACAACAACAACAACAACAACAACAACAACAACAACAACAACAACAACAACAACAACAACAACAACAACAACAACGGCAACAATAAAAACAACAATGCAATAATGATAAACATAACATGGAAAATCCAAACAAACCCATAAACAAACAAACAAACAAACAAACAAGGACAGCAAAATACATGAACAATCCCAGAATTGTGACTTACGGCAAAAAGGAAGACGGCTGAGATGATGCTCACTCCTTGTCTAAAGCCTACCTCCTCAACCAAGACACCACCGAGAGTTGTACCCAAGAAAGCGCTGTCGACACAGTTCATGAAAAAGCAGGTCAAATGATGTTCTCTTCCTCTTTACGTTCCTCTCTTTGATCTCAGGGATAATAACAGTAATAATAATAATAATAATAATAATAATAATAATAATAATAATAATAATAATAATAATAATAATAATAATAATGATAATATTAATAATAATAAATAGCATTTGTATTATAATGCATAACCTAGTCTACAGCAAGCTCTATGCGCTTTATACTATAATATAATGAATTTTGGTCCAATAAGGGATCTTTAACCTGTGCAGCTTGCACAAGGGACCTTCGACACTTTTCGCTAGGTCTATGATCTAACCTACCCTAAGATCAGGGATGCGGCTGAAAGACAGTAATAAGAAGGAGCCAGAGAATTAGCAGTAGAAAGAGTTAAAAGAGGCTGGATTTCGGGGGAGAAAGTGGAATTGCAAGCAGATGACAGAACAGGACTAGAAAACAGGGAAGGAAATGAAAGGAAACACTTTTAGAAAAGAAAACTTAGGTCACAGTTAGGTTTCCATCCCTGGAACCATTGAATGACGGGTGAACATCGTAACTTAAGACCACGAGAGGCCCTTGCCAATAAATGATGAGATAAGACAGTTGAGAGAAAAAAACAGCTATAGCATTGTAAAGTGTTTGTCAAAAACCCCTTTCATTAGTGTAAAGTAAGCTGAAAGACGACACGTCCGAATTTGACGTCCGTCTCCGATAGCACCTCCCCGATAGGACCAAACAAAACAAAAAAAATCAACCCCCAGTTCAGAACATCCCGTCGGGTATTTGAACAAGGGTCATTCGCTCCCTAAGTAAGTCCGACTTGGTTCAAATAATAATCAAAGATATTTGTAGGAAGGAACAGTCTAACTGATCTAAAAAAGAACACAATTACAGGAAGAAAAGCTTAGAAAAAAACCCCCCGACCGAAACCGTCTTCAGTAGACATTTAATTTGTATGATATGATTAGAAAATTATATTATAGTCCAACGTCTAGAGGAGTAGAGGAGCACACCAGCCCATTTAAGGTCATTGGTGTTGGAACAAGGCAAGACAGACAGACAGAAGTTGGAAGTATAATAAAGGAATTGAATTTTAAAGTGACTCGACAGCAGGAATATACAAATGCCAGAAAAGAAAAAGAGAAGCGAAAGAAGTACGCCCGTACTTCGATGTTACAATTTTAGAAGAAGAAAAAGAAGAAGAAGAAGAAGAAGAAGAAGAAGAAGAAGAAGAAGAAGAAGAAGAACAACAACAACAACAACAACAACAACAACAACAACAACAGCAACAACAGCAGCAACAACAATAACAACAACAACAACAACAACAACAACAACAACAAGAAAGGGGAAAATGGAAAGGGGAGAGGGGAAAGGGGGGGGGTGAAAGAGGATGTACAGGAAAAGAAAGAGAAAACAGAGACAGTGAAACAACAATACGACCGACATAAAATGACAACAACAGTAAGTTCACCAGCAAACGCATACGATCTCTGCAAACAGCAGCATCAGCAGTGAAAGAAAACCCAAATAACAGCAACAAATTAAGCAACCACAACGACAACAACAACAACAGCAACATTAACAACAACAACAACAACAACAACAATAACAACATCAACAACAACACCAATAACAACAACTGCGAGGGGGACAAAATGTCTCAATTCCTGCTTAGTCAGCACAAACTACACCCGTGCTCTGACCTACCCAAAACAGAACATAGAGTTGAATAGCCCTGACACTACTCCAAAAGTGTCGAGATTGTTCTCGAATCCCAGATCACTGGAGACAAAAAGAACAGACAGTAGGTAAAATGTGGGGGGGGG